TTGTCACATATCGTCATAAATTATAGCCTATTATGTTAATCTGGGTTATAAACAATAATACTGTAAAGTTTCCACAAAATCCGTTCAGTAGTTTTTGCGTGACAGAGTAAAAAACATCCAGATATCATGACATCCAGACATTTATTTTTATTTATTTATTTAATAGGACAACCAACAAGACATACACTGGAAGACAATCAATATTTACAACGTATTTAACTTAATCTAAGTGCTGCCTTAATTATAGGTTACATCCAAACTTTCGCATTTATAATATTAGTAGGAAGTAAGTAGAGGCACAGCATAAGTAGGTGTATGTTTTTGTACTTTAAAAGAAAATAACGATCTACCTTTACATACCTACTAATATTAAAGCCTAAAAAAGGAAAATTGTATTTTTGTATTGATTATGCTCTGAAACTCCGGGCGCACGGTGCTGGTCTGAAAATGTAGCTCCCATACCATAGAAACTTAATGTCAGAAATCCCAACTAATATTATAAATGCGAAAGTAACTCTGTCTGTCTGTCTGTCTGTCTGTCTGTCTGTCTGTCTGTCTGTTACGCTTTCCCGCTTAAACCTCGCAACTGATTTTGATGAAATTTGGCATAAAGATAGTTTGAGTCCCGGGAAAGAACATAGGATAGTTTTTATCCCGGTTTTTGAAACAGGGACGCGCGCGATAAAGTTTTTCTGTGACAGACAAAATTCCACGCGGGCGAAGCCGCGGGCGGAAAGCTAGTTAATAAATAAAAATATGCATTGTGTTTAGTATACCTCCCTTTGTTTTACTAATATAGTATGAAGGGTATGAGTAGCTCCATGTGTGAGAAAAAAAATATTTTTCTTTTTTTTGTATGGAAAAAAACACTCAAAGTGGATTTTTTAAAAACTGAATAGAACTGAAGGGCTGGTACTCACATGAGCTATTGCACCATACACGGCGATCAAGATGACATACAATTCTTGTGCCTTTGGGTGCCGCTTTGCATGTACCAAGCTTTGGAAATTTTGAATTTTCGGTAGGTGATCTTTCAAGTATTTGATGTTATTTTATGAAGTTATTAACCGCTTTCAATACGAGAATAGTATGTAAATTAATACTCATATAACTAGGAATATACTAGGGATATTTTTAAATATTTTTTATTTTGAAAATATAAAAAAATAAAACGTTTAATCATTAAATGAAGTAACGAACCAGTTGGTAACTGACATTGTTATTAGTTACTAACCTGCTAATGACGTTTTAATAAAAATAATAGAAATCAATATTGATTAAATAAACAACTTAAAAAATCGAACTGCCTAATAGGCCAGTAGAATTACATAATTTGAAATCGGAAATAATTCCTACAAAAGATTTTATTGTTTTAATGGCTTCATTTGTTACTCATTAAGACTATCCTAAATTTTCGACTTCGACGGAGTTGTGCTTAAGTGGTGGGGGCCCCCGAAAGGGGCGTTTTTCGGTTTTACGATTATATCGCGTAAAGGACTTACTCTATCGGAAACTGGTCTTCATGACGGTTGAATTTAATTTCCTGCATTGAATAAGACCAAATTCATATGTTTTGGAGAAACTGTTTTCGTGCTTATCTGAAAAAGTACAAAATGTACGTATAATTAATGATCCTCTCCACGTCCAATGGCTCGATACCCGCAGAATTCCAAGTTTTGAAAAGGACCGCCTCAACCGAGAAAGAGGTGCAGTAACCGCAGTTAAGGAACGGCTAGGACGAACAAGGATAGGTGCATCCAGCTCTTACCTAAGCCTTGACAGGGTTAAACTGGTTGAGTCGGCCCTTTACAAGGCTTGGGAGCCTGCGAGTGACGAGTCATTGGACGTAGAGAGGGTCAATAATTATACGTACATTTTGTACTTTTACGAAGATAAGCACGAGAACGGTTTGTCCAATACATAATATGTATTATGAATTATTATTTATTTATTATTTATTAGTTTTCGATAGCGTAAGTCCTTTACGCGATATAACCGTAAAACCAAAAAAAAGGCCCCTTTCGGGGGCCCCCACCACTTAAGCACAACTCCGTCGAGGTCGAAAATTTAGGATAGTCTTAATGGGTAACAAATGAAGCTATTAAAACAATAAAATCTTTTGTAGGAATTATTTCCGATTTCAAATGTAATTCTACTGGCCTATTAGGCAGTTCCATTTTTTAAGTTGTTTATTTAATCAATATTGATTTCTATTATTTTCATTAAAACGTCATTAGCAGGTTAGTAACTAATAACACTCCTGGAATGGAAAGGATTCGGCATAAACATTAATGGCGAGTACATCACTCACCTTCGGTTTGCCGACGATATTGTGGATATGGCAGAATCGTTGGAAGATCTCACAATGCGCAATACATGGCACAATGCTCGAAGACCTTAATCGAGTTTCCCAACAGGTAGGCCTGAGGATGAACATGGACAAAACGAAGCTTATGTCGAATGTCCATGTTACGCCCTACCCAGTTTCAGTTGGGAGCTCAATTCTCGAGATTGTCGACAAGTATGTCTACCTCGGACAAACGATCCAGCTAGGTAGGTCCAATTTTGAGAAGGAGGTCAATCGTCGAATCCAACTCGGCTGGGCAGCGTTCGGGAAACTACGCAACATCTTTTCGTCCAAAATACGTCAATGCCTGAAGACTAGAGTGTATAACCAATGTGTTTTACCAGTGATAACTTATGGCTCGGAAACGTGGCCTCTCACTATAGGTCTTATACAGAAGCTCAAAGTTGCACAGCGTGCTATGGAGAGGGCTATGCTTGGTGTTTCTTTGCGAAATCGAATCAGAAATGAGGAGATCCGTAAACGAACCAAAGTCGCTGACATAGCCCGACGGATTAGCAAGCTGAAGTGGCAATGGGCAGGGCACATAGTACGCAGAACTGACGGCCGATGGGGCAGAAAGGTTCTGGAATGGAGGCCGCGTACCGGAAATCGCAGCGTGGGACGTCCACCTACAAGGTGGACCGACGACATCGTAAAGGTAACAGGGAAGCGCTGGACGCAGGCCGCTGCCAATCGATCAACATGGAAAGCATTGGGGGAGGCTTATGTTCAGCAGTGGACGTCCTATGGCTGAAATGATGAACTAATAACAATGTCAGTTACCAACTGGTTGGTTACTTCATTCAATGATTAAACGTTTTATTTTTTTATATTTTCAAAATAAAAAATATTTAAAAATATCCCTAGTATATTCCTAGTTATATGAGTATTAATTTACATACTATTCTCGTATTGAAAGCGGTTAATAACTTCATAAAATAACATCAAATACTTGAAAGATCACCTACCGAAAATTCAAAATTTCCAAAGCTTGGTACATGCAAAGCGGCACCCAAAGGCACAAGAATTGTATGTCATCTTGATCGCCGTGTATTGTGCAATAGCTCATGTGAGTACCAGCCCTTCAGTTCTACTCAGTTTAAAAAAAATCCACTTTAAGTGTTTTTTTCCATACAAAAAAAATAAAAATATTTTTTTTCTCACACATGGAGCTACTCATACCCTTCATACTATATTAGTAAAACAAAGGGAGGTATACTAAACACAATACATATTTTTATTTATTAATTTCTGACATTAAGTTTCTATGGTATGGGAGCTTCATTTTCAGACCACGGTGGGGCGGGGCAATATCTCGTTGGCCGTTGGGGCAGAAAAGTTCTCGAGTGGCGACCACGTGTGACCACGGGCCGGGAGACGTATCGTAGGCAGGCCTACTAGGTGGACCGACGATTTGGCGAATGTTGCGGGAACAACCTGCGCAGAAAAGAAACCGGTCGTTATAGAAATTCTTGGGGGAGGCCTTTGTTCAGCAATTGACATCATTTGGCAGATTGAAACGAACGAACGAATACTCTGAAACCACAGAACCGAAATCGATGGTGGGGGCGCAAAATTAGGGGGGTTTTTTCTTCGTGCAGGGTTCTGGAACGAAGTCTCCTGCACTCCCTCACTCCACAAAATAATAACGTTTTGTAAACCCACCCTCCAATCGCCATCCCTTACTTTGATAATATAATTAATCAATTCATATAATCTAATAGTTTTGAAAGAAAGAAGAAACATTTTATACAAAGGACATCACACAGAGATAAAAAGGTACATGGACGTAATGGTAGTGAATAAACCACGGATACTCTCGGCGCAGTTAAGGGACTCTTATCTAGGTTTAAATAAGACGTCAATATTTAGGTGACAATTTATTGCTTGACACAGGTTGTCAATGGTTCTCAAAGGTTCAAAATCCTCCCGGTATATAAAAAAATCTGGACACCGCGGTACAGCTTTACGCGTCTCAAAGAGCAGTGACATCTCTCGGCAAATAATACAAACAAGTTTCATGGAAGGTTTATACAGGTAGCACATAATTAAAAGTGTTGTAAGCAGTCCTACCTTTTCCAATCCTACAGTGTGTCCGAGTAAAGATCAAACTTTATTAATCCTTCAAGGCCCGCGAATCTAGACACAATAGATAATCAATTGTTATGACATTAATGAATGCCGTCTGGGACTCAAGCGGTTAAGGGCATGATTTAATGGACAATCAACCAAATCAATCAACCTCAATTACAGGTATACACAAATTATATTATCGATGATAATACTTTAAATCTGGCCCAATTTATTTCGTTACGGCTTGTGTCTGTTTGCTGCTGCTACTAATAGGTAATTTGGTTAGCTATTGAATGGTACCAAATATTTCTATTTATTTTGTTTATTTATTATTTCATTACCTTATTATAATTAAGCATAAGGGGCACATGCTGTCGCTCGTTCAGTGTGCCTCATTTTTTGTATGTCCACCTAGATTTCATGACCATGTAATTTCAGGCTCGCAGTCACAGTGTACGCAGTGCTGCTGTCGGCGTCCGCGGTGGGCGGCGACGACGGCGAGGAGTTCAGCGTGGCGGTCAGCGCCGCCGCGCCCGACGCCGCCGCGCCCAGCGCCGCCGCGCTCGCCGCCGTCGTGGCGCTGGCGCTGCGGGCCGCCCGCGTGCGCGCGCACGCCGCGACGCTGGCCGCGCTGTCCGCCGGCCGCGCGCACGCCGCGCTGCTGGCCGTGCGCGCGGCGGCCGTGCCCGCGGCGCCGCGGCTGCGGGACGCCGGCCTGGAGGAGCTCGGCGACGCGGCTCCGCCCTGGCGCCGCGCCTGTCTCGTCACGCGCCCTCCCGCCCGCTCCTTGCTCGATTTCGCCGACGAACGCGTTGCGGAGCGTTACAGTTTAACGGATGACATCCAGGGAATCGACGAGTGAGCACGCTTTCTTCAACGAATTAGGATGTTGAATTTATGACGACTTCACTAAAGGAATACAAATATTTGCTTTACAGTTTCTGCCAAAATTGCACATTCACTCCGGAGTGGTGCATCGGCGATAACGTGACGTGTGCCACGCTCCTGACGAGCGACGAAATCGAAAGAGACGTGCTCGCCGAGGTGGTGCGCTCGCACAGGCTGCTGGCGCGCGTGGTGCCGCTGGGCGCGCGGCTGGCGGAGCGGGTGGAGCGGGCGGGCGGGCGCGGCGTGCTGGTGTGCGACCGCGCGCCCGAGCTGTCGCCGCTCGCCCGGCTGCAGGCCACGCCCCTCGGCCCGCCGCCCTGCCTCGGCGCGAGCGATTGCCCCTTCGAACCGCAACGTCTGATCAAGATAGCGAACGTGCGAGCTCTGGCGAAGTACCCGAGTGCGCTTCGTACCCTGATCCGTCTCTCGTTCGGCGCCGAGGACCTGGCCGATCTCCTCGGCCGCGCTCGTCGAGTCGGACCCGAGGAGGCGGCTCGGACGTACGTCGACGCCCACCCGTCGTCCGCTTCGCTCGGTGAAGTGAGAGTCGCGGTCCTGTTACCCGCGAGCACCGATCGCGAAGCCTACGAGGCCCACTCGTACGAGAGCGCCGCTAAACTCGTCGAAAGAGAGATCGAGGACGAACGCACACCGGGAGCGGCGCATTTCAAGGTGGAGGTGTTCGACGACGGCTGCTCGGCGCCGCGGGCGTACAAGTACCTGACGGACGCGCTCGGCACCGGCGAGTACGGCGCGCTGTCGGCGGTGGCGGGCCCGGCGTGCGGCGCCGCGTTCGCGGACGTGGCGCGCCAGAGCCCGGCGCACGCGCTGCCCGTGCTGGCCTACACGCCGCAGGCGCCGCCGCCGGGCGCCGCCGGGCTGGCGCTGCTGGCCGCCGGCGACGCGCGCCTGCACACGCAGCTGTGGGCGGCGCTGATGGCGGCGATGCGCTGGCGGCGGCTGGCCGTGCTCAGCGAGCCGGCCACGCGGGCCGCTCTGGACGTCGTTCGACTTCGAGATTATGAAGTCACGCATTCCGAACTGCCGGACGACGGTGCCGGCGTTCACATGGAGTTGATCTCACAGGTGAGCGACGAATAAATAAAATATATACCTACATAAAATAATTCAAAGCGTTTTCGTAACTTTTAAAAACCGATCCATCGCTATTTTTATTTATTAATTTAATAATCATAAATAACCCCGCAGAGCAGCTTTGTGGCGAGCTGTTGGTGAGTAGCGACACCACGGGGTCAGTTGTTAATCCGAGTGTTCCCGAATCCAAGAGGGTTTGCTGGACTTACACCTCTGTCTTGCCTTAGCCGGCCGGCCAGAGTGGAGTCGCTAGAACTATATGCTCCAGGTGTGGAAGTGTTAAAAGGCGTAATACCGCGAGTAACTTCGGAGAAAGCGCAGCACACCTCTACACCCCTGAGCTGGCAGACGCCAATTTTGCCCCTCTGTCCGTCTTATGTATTTTTATGAAATACTTCCAGGCGACGTGTCTCTTACTACGAATGGTAGGTATTTCATAGAAATACATAGAAACCAGTAGTCTGCTGCTGCCTCATGTGGTCCGCTTTCAACTTGTACCATAACACCAACCGAAGCTGTTTTGCACAAGCCACTAATCCTGCGACCACTAAGGCTGGTAAACCAGAGTACGCATGAGATGGGATGATGAAATAAATACTTTCATCATGTGTACTTGCTATCACGTTACGAAATTAGAGACAGATCGCACCATGTACTGCAAAGGCTTATTACGACAGATTTAGACTTGAATACCCCAATTTTGATATCTCGAGAAGAATTGCAGACTTACTGCCGTACGCAATTTAGACATACAAGAAAATGTTTATATGACTATGCACAAAGCTGCGACCCTAAACACCAGTCGTATCGTCAAAAAGTTTATGCAGGACGACTTTAACCCCACAATCAATCCTGAAAACGTAAGTCACCTGGTATGAGCCCGTGAGTTATCGTTAAAACTGAAGACCTTTAAGGACTCGGGTAAAAGAAAGAAAACTTGACTTCCCTACCTAATACGAATATTATAGGCCATTAGCTTTCATCCTGCGGCTTCGCTCGCGTGTTAAAAAAAAGGGCTGCTTTTAGGGTTTTTTTTTGTCGAACTATCGATCGTCAGTCGGGTCGCACACGGTTCGAACTGAGAGCGAAACGTCAATTTCAGTGGGCGAAGCGAACGGCGGAGGCGAACTCCCGCATCGTGCACCTGTGCCTGGAGGACGCGCGCTCGGTCCGCGCGGCGCTGTGCGCGGGGCAGCGCGCGGGGCTGGCGGGCGCCGTGTGGCTGCTGCCCGCGCTGCCGGCCGGCTGGCTGGCGCGCGAGCCGCCCTGCCCGCGCGCCGTGCTCGCCGCCGCCGCCGAGGGCCACCTGCGCGCCGCGCCCGCCTGGCGCGCCCGGCCGCGCGCCTGGCCCGCCTGCGTCGGCTGCGCGCCCGGCGCCGCGCTGCTGTACGACGCGCTCAAGCTGTGGGCCGCCGCCCTCGCGCGCCTGCTCGCCGCCGACCCCGCCGCCGTCGACGACCTCCATCGCCCGGAAAACGTTAGGTGAGATTCAGAACTATTTGTGTTTATTATTTTTAAATGTCACTCGATAAATTGACTCGCGACACCCCGACGACGTTCTCTTCGGCACTCGTGTTCGTTCGTTAGTTCGTTTCAGCCGAAAGACGTCCACCGCTGGACGAAGGCCTCCCCCGAGGATTTCCATAAAGACCGGTCCTGCGCCGCTCGCATCCAGGCACCTCCCGCGACCTTCACGACACCGTCGGTCCACCTAGTGGGAGTCTACGTCTAGTCCTACGTCTTCCGGCTCGTGGTTATCACTCGAGAACTTTCCTGCCCCAGCGGCCATCAGCTCTCTCTCTCTCTCTCTCTCATCAAGTTAGGTGGTGCAACTCGGCCTAAGCGTACACGCTGTCACGTAACAATGTCGGCAGACCTAATAAATAAATAAATCCTCCCGATCGAATCGTTGCGCTTCCAGGACCTTGATCGAGGACGCCACCTCGACCGAATTCATCGGTCTCACGGGTCGTTTCAACTGGAGCTCGTCCGACGGAGTGCACGCCCGCGAGACGCCCCTCGTGCTGCAGCAGTGGCAGAACGGCAGCTACGTGACGGTCGGGCGCTGGGAGCGCGGCGCGCTGACGCTGCTGCCGGCGCTGCGCTGGCGCACGGCGGACGGGCGCGCGCCCGACGACGGCGGCGAGCGCTGCGGCCTGCGCGCGCTGGCCGCGCTGCTGCGCTCCGACTGCCGCACCGCCTTCGTGGTGCTGGCCGCGCTGCTGCTGGCGGCGCTGGTGGGCGCGCTGGCCGCGCTGGCGCTGTGCTGCCGCCGCCGCGCCGAGCGCGAGTACCGCGCGCACCTCGAGGCGCTGCGCCTGCGCGCCGTGCGCCCCGGCGGCCTGGACCGCTGGGAGCTGCCGCGCGAGCGCGTCGTCATCAACCGCAAGCTCGGCACGGGCGCCTTCGGCACCGTGTACGGCGGCCACGCGCTGCTGGCCGAGGACCGCGGCTGGACGGCCGTCGCGGTCAAGACGCTCAAGGCGGGCGCCAGCACCGAGGAGAAGCTCGACTTCCTGTCGGAGGCGGAGGCCATGAAGCGGTTCGACCACAAGAACGTGGTGCGGCTGCTCGGCGTGGTGACCAAGACGGAGCCCGTGTGCACCGTGATGGAGTTCATGCTGTACGGCGACCTGAAGAACTACCTGCTGGCGCGGCGGCACCTGGCGGCGGCGGCGCCGGGCGACGAGGCGGCGGACGAGGTGGCGCCGCGCCGGCTGACGGGCATGGCGCTGGACGCGGCGCGCGCGCTGGCCTACCTGGCGCAGCTGCGCTACGTGCACCGCGACGTGGCGGCGCGCAACTGCCTGCTGAGCGCGCACCGCGTGCTCAAGCTGGCCGACTTCGGCATGACGCGCCTCGTGTTCGAGAACGACTACTACCGCTTCAGCCGCAAGGGCATGCTGCCGGTGCGCTGGATGGCGCCCGAGAGCCTGGCGCTGGGCGTGTTCTCGCCCGCCTCCGACGTGTGGTCGTTCGGCGTGCTGCTGTACGAGATCGTCACCTTCGGCTCGCTGCCCTTCCAGGGGCTCAGCAACGCCGAGGTGCTGGCGCGCGTCAAGGCCGGCCGCACGCTGGAGCTGCCGCCGGGCCTCAAGCCGCAGCTGTGAGTGTGTTCATGTCGCGCCCGCGCCCGCCGCGCTCGCCGCTCGACCTAGACTGAAGCGTCGCGCGCTGGTTGCAGGGAGGGGCTGATCAAGTCGTGCTGGCTGGCGGACTGCAGGGCGCGGCCGACGGCGCCGGAGGTGGCGGCGTGGCTGGCGGACTCGCCGCGGCTGCTGGCGCCGTGCCTGGACGTGCCGCTGGACTCGCTGCCGCTGGACGCCGAGCCCTGGCGCTCCGCCCGCGACCGCGCCGAGGTAGCGTCTCGAGCCGCGCGCCGTCCGGTGTGTTAGACAAACTTCGTGGGTGTATGGGCGAGGTCGTTTTAAGAATACGAGTTCGCCCATTTGACCTCAAGTGAACTACTTTTTTTTTAATTGATATTTATACAGTGTGAGTCACGTTAAAGTGCACATATGAAAATAGATGAAACTAGACCTATTTTTATCGACAAAAAAGAGGTCCAAAAATTTTTAAGTTTTTTTTTATTTTTTTATAGAATTTTTGTCTTCCAATGACTTATTGTAAAGAAAACGTCATAACTTTTAAACTAAGAGGTATATCCTGATAAAATAAAAATAGTAATAATGCTAAATAACCGGCGATACTAAAAAAATACATAAAATACTCAGAAAATGGCAACAAATAATAAAAAAATGATAAAAATATTTTAATTTGTGTTTTTTGGTTATTTGATAAATTTCTCCAAATAATGCCCCCATAACAGGTGGTTTTTATTACTTTGTGTTATTCTTTATCGTATTACCTTTGTAAAACCAAAAATCGCATGTCTCTATCCCTATCACAACGTTTGCAATGATCGTTTGAACAAAGGCCTGCCACCACATTATTCTCCGCTACAGGTAGAGACAATTTTAATTTTAACTAAAATGTTTATTTTACTTCGAAATCTTTTGTTGTTATTTGAAATCTAACTTGTCTTTATCAAAATTGCAAATCTAGTCACTTTCAGTTTCGTTGTTAACGAAGCGTTGAATGGCGCGCCCGGAGAGGCTTAGTTCAAACGATCATAGCAAATGTTATGATAGGGATAGAGACATGCGATTTTTGGTTTTACAAAGGTAATACGATAGTGAATAACACAAAGTAATAAAAACCACCTGTTATAGGGGCATTTTTTGGAGAAATTTATCAAATAAACAAAAAAATACGAATTTATATGCAGATTTTTTTCAAAAAGTATATTTTTTTTATTATTTGTTGGCATTTTCTGAGTATTTTATGTATTTTTTTAGTATGGCCTGTTATTTAGCATTATTACTGTTTTTATTTCATCAGGATATAACTCTTAGTTTAAAAGTTGTGACGTTTTCTTTACAATAAGTCATTGGAAGAAATTTTTTTTATAAAAAATGAACAAAAAACTCAAAAAAGTTTTTGACCTCTTTTTTTGTCGATAAAAATAGGTCTAGTTTCATCTATTTTCATAATTATGTGCACTTTAACGTGACTCACACTGTATTTTTATTAATTTTTTTTTTCAAAATGTTACTTAAAAACTGCTTCAATTTTTTTTCTCGCGTGTTTTCAACCGCTTTTTTTATTTGATATTAATATCGGATATGTAAAAGTAGAGAAGCTAGAGATGTTTTTAAGATCATCGGCAATCCATTATCACCTTTAATTTTTTTTTAATCGAATTCTAAGTTGAATTTTTATCGTGGTTTGTACTTTTGTTAAACTTTGGCGGCTCGGCAGCTATCCAATCATTATCTGGATCTGAAATTTATTTTATTTGACTAAAGACATAGTATACTTATTCGATATTAATATCAAATAAAAAAGCGGTTGAAAACACACGAGAAAAAATTAAGCAGTTTTCAGGTCAAACGGAAAAAAATAAATAAAAACAAAAATATCAATTAAAAATAAAAGTAACTCACTTAGGGTCAAATGGGCGAACTCGTATTCTTAAAATGGCCTTACCTATACACCCACGAAGTTTGTCTAACCTTCCGCCCAACATCCTGTATATCTGGTGCCCGAGGTGGGAATCTCGAACCCTCGGCCTCGCTTGCCGAGCGTTCGTCGTTCTGACCTCTGAGCCACTTCAAACGTTGTTGTCGTGTCCGCATGCGCTCTGACCTCGTCTATGTCCCCATTATTAGATGTGTTGATCTTCAAAAAGTCCCTCATTATGTGAGCACCGCCCGTAGTGTACCTACCTATAATACATTCTTGTAATCTGTAGTTTAAATTTGTATACGAACAAGCAGTTCTACTAGAGATTGATTGATTGAACATTTTAATACTAAAGCCTGGTCCGTGAGCACGTAGAATTTTGTCCAAGGACCCCAAGCTACCCATCCTTATCGCTCGCGCGTAATTATGTTGCTGTCGCGCTCGCACACTCACTGCCGGCGCCCGTCGCACAGTCGCGACAGCAATATAATTACACGCGAGCGATAAGGATGGGTAGCTTGGGGTCCTTGGACAAAATTCTACGTGCTCACGGACCAGGCTTTACCGGTCCTCTAGAATGACCTACCCACTTTATGAAGTAGGTACCCCTGAAATTTGGAACGGCAAGTTTATTTTTATTCTTTGTATTATAATGATGAAAGTCGCCTTTCACACTAAACGTTATTCAGATTCTTCCGAACTTATGTAGGTAGGTACGTTACGTTTTTATCAACATGAAAGTCAATTATTGGGGCTACTCGTTACTGTGCAACGTCGTGACGTGTCTCGTGTCCCGCAGGCGCGCTGGGTGTCGTGGGCGGCGCCGGCGTCGGCCGCCACCGACACCACCTACCTCAGCGACGCGCCGGCGCCCGGCGAGGCCGACGCCTTCCTGCCCGAGCCCGCCACGCCGTGACCGCCGCGCCGGCGCCGCCTACCTCAGCGACGCGCCGGCGCCCGGCGAGGCCGACGCCTTCCTGCCCGAGCCCGCCACGCCGTGACCGCCGCGCCGGCGCCGCCTACCTCAGCGACGCGCCGGCGCCCGGCGAGGCCGACGCCTTCCTGCCTGAGCCCGCCGCGCCGTGACCGCCGGAGCCCGCCGCGCCGCGATACTGCGATCATTCCAATATTGTTCTAGTCAACATTGTAAATAGTAGATAAGATAAATGATATTTAATGTAAGTTATTATGAGTTATATAAAATAAATGTTCTATTAATATTTATAAAATTAAATGTAATAAAATGATTTTCTGTACAGGGTGAAATTTAAGTCGTTGGCGTCCTTTAAAATAAGACTACTCATGCCTACAATTCATACAGTGTACAACCCTACGATAGCGATGTGTCCATGGGAAAATGAAGGCAATAGCATCATATATTGAGATTTAAGCTAGCTCATTGAACGCATACAAAAGAGCTTTAGAGCTCTTACACACGAGCAGCACATTGACGACAGCAAAGGCGACCGCAGTCGCCGTCACTTGTCGGCAGCTAGCCGTCGACGTGCCCGCAGCAAGCTGTCGACACGTCGACGTCTGCCGTCGACGAGTCGACAGCTTGCTGCGACGACCGTGTCGGCGTACGTCTTTGTACAGGAGCCAGCCAGTTGAAAATGGATTTCATTGAAGAAACACTGTTGTTGCATTTACTCCGTCGTCGTCGACGAAAGAGAAAGAACCGGTCATTGTGGGTTTAAGAAATGTTATTGAATAGAGAACGAGACTACACACACCGACGCCCATGCTCTATTTTTTTATGTTTTATTATGGTAGCCTTCTAAATTCGAGTTCCATATTATTTCATTGTTTTTGACAGCACAAATTTTTTAGCAATTCCGAATCAATTTGTTCGGAACTCATTAGGTGTGCGTGTAAGCTCCTGTGGGTCTAGACAAAGTGCAAATTATAATCGCAAACCAGTCGAAAAGTGGTCGAAAAGCCAGAGCTCTTACACACGAGCAGCACATTGACGACAGCAAAGGCGACCGCAGTCGCCGTCACTTGTCGGCAGCTAGCCGTCGACGTGCCCGCAGCAAGCTGTCGACACGTCGACGTCTGCCGTCGACGAGTCGACAGCTTGCTGCGACGACCGTGTCGGCGTACGTCTTTGTACAGGAGCCAGCCAGTTGAAAATGGATTTCATTGAAGAAACACTGTTGTTGCATTTACTCCGTCGTCGTCGACGAAAGAGAAAGAACCGGTCATTGTGGGTTTAAGAAATGTTATTGAATAGAGAACGAGACTACACACACCGACGCCCATGCTCTATTTTTTTATGTTTTATTATGGTAGCCTTCTAAATTCGAGTTCCATATTATTTCATTGTTTTTGACAGCACAAATTTTTTAGCAATTCCGAATCAATTTGTTCGGAACTCATTAGGTGTGCGTGTAAGCTCCTGGACTACTGACAGTTGACCTTCAAAATGGCGGAGTCGACAGCACGTCGGCAGCATGTCGACAGCTAGCCGTCGCCTTCTGACGTCGACTGCAGTTACATGCGTCGACAGCAAAATGCTGTTCGTGTGTAAGAACCCTTACTCGCTATCTTGTATAGGTAGATGCTATGACTTTACACAAGTTCATTCACGGCAATTTAATCTGTTCAAGTTTACTACAACAGATTGGTCTTATTGTCCCATACCACATCCCTAGACATCATGTTCATATTCATATTATTTATTTATACCTATTTTATATTATACTAGCGGCCGCCCGCGACTTCGTACGCATGGATCCCGTTTTACCCCCTTCATTTATCTTTTTTTTATTTTTATTTTTATTTTATTGTTAGGAAAACAAATCTTACGCGGTTTAGATTTACACATACAAATGTTTTTTCCCGCTAACTCCCGTTCCTGTGGGAATTTTGCAATATCCTGTTATAACTAAGCTTTAAGTTTAATAAGGTACNATAAAATAAATGTTCTATTAATATTTATAAAATTAAATGTAATAAAATGATTTTCTGTACAGGGTGAAATTTAAGTCGTTGGCGTCCTTTAAAATAAGACTACTCATGCCTACAATTCATACAGTGTACAACCCTACGATAGCGATGTGCCCATGGGAAAATGAAGGCAATAGCATCATATATTGAGATTTAAGCTAGCTCATTGAACGCATACAAAAGAGCTTTAGAGCTCTTACACACGAGCAGCACATTGACGACAGCAAAGGCGACCGCAGTCGCCGTCACTTGTCGGCAGCTAGCCGTCGACGTGCCCGCAGCAAGCTGTCGACACGTCGACGTCTGCCGTCGACGAGTCGACAGCTTGCTGCGACGACCGTGTCGGCGTACGTCTTTGTACAGGAGCCAGCCAGTTGAAAATGGATTTCATTGAAGAAACACTGTTGTTGCATTTACTCCGTCGTCGTCGACGAAAGAGAAAGAACCGGTCATTGTGGGTTTAAGAAATGTTATTGAATAGAGAACGAGACTACACACACCGACGCCCATGCTCTATTTTTTCTTTTTCAAAGGTTTACAGGTTTTCAAAATTCATAGTTATAAATATTTATGCGAGCTAGGCAGTTACGCATCCCAAACATTTTTATCTTTTAAATAATCATCGACTTTATAGTAGCCCTTTTTCATTAAGGTACTTTTAATATGTGCTTTGAATGTATGAATGGGTAGTTCTACAACAGTTTGTGGTAATTTATTAAATAATTTAATACATTTCCCCATATTGAGATTCAAGCTAGCTCATTGAACGCATACAAAAGAGCTTTACTCGCTATCTTGTATAGGTAGATGCTATGACTTTACACAAGCTCATTCACGGTAATTTAATCTGTTCAAGTTTACTACAACAGATTGGTCTTATTGTCCCATACCACATCCCTAGACATCATGTTCATATTCATATTATTTATTTATACCTATTTTATATTATACTCGCTGCCGCCCGCGACTTCGTACGCATGGATCCCGTTTTACCCCCTTCATTTATCTTACGCGGTTTAGATTTATTCATACAAATGTTTTTTCCCGCTAACTCCCGTTCCTGTGGGAATTTGCAATATCCTGTTGTAACTAAGCTTTAAGTTTACTAAGGTACCTGCATGCCAAATTTCAAGCATCTAACTTAAGCGGTTTAGATTTTTCATACAAAAGGATTTTCCCGCTAATTCCCGTTCCCGTGGGAATTCCTAAGTATACTATAACCTGCCCAGGAGTATGAAGAATAATTGTACCAAGTTTCGTTAAAATCCGTCGAGTAGTTTTTGTTTCTATAAGGAACATACAGACAACAATTTTACTGATTGCATTTTTGGCATCAGTATCGATCACTAATCACCCCCTGATAGTTATTTTGAAAATATATTTCATGTACAGAATTGACCTCTCTACAGATTTATTACATATAAGTATAGATTTATTGATATTGGGAAATGATGTATCCACTTGTATAAAAGGCATACATATACAGGGTGGAATTTTGTAATGCCAACTGGAGGGAAAGTACTGTTAATGCTGTAGATAGAAAAGTTTACTGAAAGAAAACATTCCTTTATTTTTGAAAAGTAAGAGAACTTCATTCAAAGATTTTCTGTACATAGGTAATTAAAATAAAGATTTCATGGTTTTCATTTCATTTATCAAGTTTGTTAGAGAGATTTCATCCTTATACTTAATCCTAACGATCGATGCAATAAAAATACAGGGTGTAATTTTTAACAGATTTTAGTTGGTTCGATTCCCGGGTGCGGTAAGCAAATTTGTGGAATTTTTTGAATGCAGTTCTATTTATTTTCAAAAATAAAGGAATGTTTTCTTTGAGAAAAATACAATGTTAAGAGTACTTTCCCTCCAGATGGCATTACAAATCCACCCTGTATAAAAATGAATCGCAAAATGTGTTGGTAAGCGCATAACTCAACAACGCCTGGACCAATTTTACCAATTCTTTTTAATGTTCGTTGAAGTCCAAGGATGGTTTCCTTGGTTTTTAAAAAAGGCGAGAAAAATTCGAATAATTCCTGAGAAAATCCTAAATACAGCCCTTTTTTCACGCGGGCGAAGCCGCGTGCGGAAAAATAATTATTAACCATATAAATTGACCTAACTGTGATAAGTTGTTAGGTTTGATAGAATTCATAATTTATTTTATTATTTTTAGAGATTAAAAACTTGCTAATAAAGTATTATTTTTTAGTTTATATGATGCGGTAGCGTAGTACGCATCCGCGTTTTCCACCAGTTCACGGCCTTAATTACGTTAAACACCAATCATTTCCTATAATGTTTGGATCATAATCTACTCACATTAAATCTTACCAATCTACAAAACAACCCCCATCAGGAATGCGGTACTCGTAGGTGCTACTATACTACTTTTTAACTTATGGTCAACATAGTATTAATAAATTTGATCTTACTAGGCAGATACAGATCTTAAACCTTACTAAACGATAAGCTGTCGTAGGCCAAGATTAACTGTTTTAAACAGGAAACTAAATTATTTAAACATAAGGAAAACAGTGGTCAAAACCACGACGATATCTGAAACGAGCTAGTATTCATATATTGCGTTGGTTGAAGATACGTGCGTCACATTACACAACGTTAACGTTACTTACTACTTCCATTATTTTTATTTAGTAAGCTGTACTCGTTCCCAATGCATGTGGGAAAAAGAGGTGGCAAGAAAAAGAAGTGGAACACTGCGGTTTTGGCGGCCATGCTGGTGGCCACGGCTGCGGTCGTCGGGTGCCATCCACAATCCGCCTGCGACACATTGGACCAGAAGTATGCCGGTGAGTTTAATAACGCCTAGGTACTTACCTGTATTTTTCTTGGATCTTAAAAATATTGTTTTCTTCTACTTTCGTAAGTTATCGTACCTATGCAATAGGCTAGTTTCCTAAAAAAATTTTTTTAGTCCGTCAATTTCGTTTATTCCCGATGTCCCCCACTATTTGTCCACCACTGGTGGACATCGAGAAAAAAAGTTGCAATGGACAAATAGTGGGGGACATCGGGAATAAACGGTCAATTTTACTATAAAAAAATTTTGGACACGTATATTTTTAATTGTCAATCAAACAAATAATTACAAAGTTATAGTGCGTTGAAGTTCCGCGCGACGTCACAAAGTGCTGCACTTTTACGCACTCACTGACTCGCCTTTTCTTTAGAACTTTGGCACGCTTTATCTCTTTACATTTTTATTAGTTATAAAAAGTGAAAAATACGTGTCGAGTGGTTTTTGATAAGCTAACTGACGGACTAATTAAAACTTGCTTTTTCATATCATAAATAATAAATCTGGGCATTTCATATCGAACATTTAATTAAATAGCAAACTTTTAGTTATGATTTTTAATAGGTTAGGTACTTAGGACCATTAGCACCGACTTCGAAAATATTAATCATGATCCTACTATCTTACTAATATTATAAATGCGAGTCTGGATGTCTGAATGTCTGGATGTTTGTTACTCTTTCACGCAAAAACTACTGGACGGATTTTGTTGAAACTTTACAGTATTAGGTATTGTTTATAACCCAGAATAACACAGGCTATAATTTATGACGATTACGTGACAAACTAAATTTCACGCGGGTGAAGCCGCGGGCAAATATATATAGACTCGTACGAGTACCTATTATCAACGTGATTATTTTTCATCTTTTTTATTGACATACATTTTACTCGTGGTGAGTTAAACAAATATTATTATCGTCGCATCGCATGTAACAGCAGGCGGGGTAGGCAGGGACACCAGAATATTCAGCCCCACCCCACACTCACGAGAAGAGTCGAGAGATCTGCGGAGGTCCGTATCGAGGATAGATTAGATTCTCACCGGTGTAACGTGACGCAGCCGCCGGCTCTCGGCGCGCGACGTGGGCGTGGGGGCGCGCGGCCACGCCGGCGGTGCAGGCAGGCGGCGCCGCGCCCGCCCGCGCCGCCGCCGCGCTGCTGGCCGCCGGCCTGCGCCACCGCCTGCGCTACCGCCGCGTGCAGCTCCACCTCCACGACGCCTACTCGAGCCTGTGCTCCTTCGCCAAGCTTATGCAGACTCATTGTCAGAACATAGACGTCTCGGACGATTTTTATAACTAGTGAGTTTATGAGTTTCCTTGTTATTATCTACTGTATAAAAATAAGTCGGGTTTTCCTCCCTGACGCTATAACTCCAGAACGCACGAACCGATACTAGCTGTGCCCGCGACTTCGTCCGCGTGGAATGATGACTTTGGGTAGGCACTTTTAATAATTTAATCTAATTATTTTACAAATAGCTTTTGCCCGCGACTTCGTCCGCGTAGAAGTCGAAAACGTTCTCATAGGATTTTTAAATGGTTTTTAACGTTATTATCTAAATGTTTGAATACTATTTGATCGTTTAAACACAGTGAATGATTCAATTACATAACATTTTAAATATTATGAACAGTTCTGTAAATGTTATATTAGTTACTAAATTATGACTAATGATACGTTTCACAGCTTCGCTCTCATGAATGTTTACGACCGTCAAAAGCACGTCGATAGATGGCGGTCACTAATTTAGACTTTGATTTGCTCGTTTAAAACACAGTGAATTATTCAATTACATAAAATATCTTTATTTCCCATTCCCATGGATTCCCATGGTTCTTCCCACTGCACTGAGGCGATCAACGGAACACCGGAGTTATTTTAGTGGGTATGCAATACCCGCAGCATAAGTAATGTATCTAATATATTGTTTTTTTTTTTTTCAGATTTCAAATGTACCATGCTTTGGAAAGACGCAAGGAAGCAGAGCTCCTGGCGGCGCNCTGCGCGTGGCGGGCGCGGGCGCGGCGCCGGCGCGGCTGCGGCTGCACGCGCACGTGTCGCGGCGCGCGCCGGCCTGCGACGACCGTCGCTTGAGCCGTTGGTTATACAACAACCATGACAAACTCCGTGACTGCCGTTTCCTAACTGGCGACGATCTGATGACGCCCGAGTGAGTCCGAGATTCAAATCAAGGCCTGTTCCAAGATTTTGTCCTCTTATTTAAGTACTAGCTGTGCCCGCGACTTCGTCCGCGTGGAATGATGACTTTGGGTAGGCACTTTTAATAATTTAATCTAATTATTTTACAAATAGCTTTTGCCCGCGACTTCGTCCGCGTAGAAGTCGAAAACGTTCTCATAGGATTTTTNTTTTACTGGTGGTGAGTTAAACAAATATTATTATCGTCGCATCGCATGTAACAGCAGGCGGGGTAGGCAGGGACACCAGAATATTCAGCCCCACCCCACACTCACGAGAAGAGTCGAGAGATCTGCGGAGGTCCGTATCGAGGATAGATTAGATTCTCACCGGTGTAACGTGACGCAGCCGCCGGCGCTCGGCGCGCGACGTGGGCGTGGGGGCGCGCGGCCACGCCGGCGGTGCAGGCAGGCGGCGCCGCGCCCGCCCGCGCCGCCGCCCGCGCCGCCCGCCCCGCCCGCGCTGCTGGCCGCGCCGCGCCCGCGCCACACCGCCCGCGCGCTGCGCCGCTTCGTCTCCGGCTTCGGGTGGACTCGCCTCGCCGTTCTTTCCGACCGGTCGCAGCTCGCCGCCGAAATCTACGAGTCCCTTCGGTCCTTCGGCGACTTGATCCTCTGCGACGTTCCGATGGACTCGGATCCGGAGTCGGCGTTGCGAACTTTGAAGATGCACGAAGCTCGCATTGTGTTCGTCAATTCGAACTCGTCCGTCGCCACAACCGTGCTCTGCGCCGCGGGCGATCGGGGCATGACGCCGGAGGCCGGCTACGTCTGGATCCTGCGCGAGTGGCGCGTCGCCGATGCGGACGTGAGATGTCGGCGGGAACCGTTCCCGTCGACTCATTTCACGGTATCTTTTTGGTGGCGCGGTGGAAAAGTTCCGTGCGCCCTCGACGGTTCGGGCGACCCGGCCATGAGGAACGCTCTCGATGCGACGTGGCCCGATCGCACGTGGCCTCCGCACGCGGCGCCGTTGGCGGACGCGTTGTCGCTGTTGCTGCACGGCTTCCAAAACTTTTTACATGAACATCCTCAGAGACGATATGACATACACAGTCAAACGGTCCCTTCCTTAATTTGGGAAAATCTCAATAAACATCCTATAGAAGGAGTGATGCAGACGTTAAATTTGGACGAACACGGAGTTCGAAACCATCTCGCTTACGTCGAAAGATGGCGGTGGCAACCGGAGAGATGCGTTGACCGTGTGGCGAGTGAACGACGATAAGGTGACGGAGGTGCACACGGAAGGATCGATTTTCCAAGATCCCATTCCTTCGGACGGTTCGGCCTCCTGTTTGTTCAAATCTTCCAGCGAAGCGTTCTCGCCCCGCTGCTACGACGGCGCCTGCTTCACGGGCGCGGCCGCGAGCCTGCTGGCGCTGCCGGCGCTGCTGCTGGCGCGGCGCGTGCGGCGGCGGCGGGCGGCGGCGCGGCCGGCGTGGTGCACCGCGACGTGCGCGCCGCCAACTGCCTGGTGGACGCGCGGCGCTCGCTCAAGCTGGCCGACTTCGGGCTGGCGCGGCGCGCGGGCGCGGGCGCGGGCGCGGAGTACGTGAGCCGGCGGCGCGGGCCGCTGCCGGCGCTGTGGCTGGCGCCCGAGAGCGTGGAGCGCGGCGCGTTCTCGGCGGCGTCGGACGTGTGGGCGCTGGGCGTGCTGCTGCTGGAGCTGGCCACGCTGGGCGCGCGGCCCTACGGCGCCTGGCCGCCGCTGCGCGTGCTGCGCCACGTGGGCGCCGGCGGCCACCCGCCGCTGCCGGTCGACATCGCGCCCGAAACGTGAGTGTGATCGTGCGGGCGAGCGGCCTCGAGGCCCCGGTCGGTCCTTCCTTCGAACTCCTGCGTTCACCGTTGCGGGTTCAATGGCAATTCAACTGTCCCACCGGGACTGACTCGTCTTCGCTGGTCGGGTTTCTTATTGGCGGCTAACAGGAGTCTTCTGTTGAGTGCTAAAATTCTAGCTACACAAGTTGCAGCGCGGTGGGATAGAATCAGAGAGTTGAAGAACCCTCGTAACAAACGATTTTTAAACAATTATTGTAGGCACACCACACGTTGCAGTTCCGTTCCCCGAATGTTATAAATAAACCAACGCATGATAAAACATCCCAACTAATATTATAAATGCGAAAGTAACTCTGTCTGTCTGTCTGTCTGTTACGCTTTCCCGCTTAAACCTCGCAACCGATTTCGATGAAATTTGGTACAGACAATCTTTAGACCCTGAGACAGAACATAGGTTACTTTTTTTCAAAAACTAATTTCACGCGGGCGAAGCCGCGGGCGGAAGCTAGTAAGTAATAAATAAAAAAGTCGAACAATGTTTTGGAGCAGCGTGTACTGTAACGAGCGTGCGGGCGCAGGCGGCGCGTGCTGGCGAGCTGTTGGCGCGCGGCGCGGGCGCGGCCGGCGGCGGCGGAGCTGCGAGCACACCTCACCGCGGCGGCGGCGGCGCTGCGGCCCGCGCTGGGCCCGCTGCAGGCGCCCGACGCGGCCGGTGCGGGCCGCCGGGGTCGGTGACCGCGCTGGGCCCGCTGCAGGCGCCCGACGCGGCCGGTGCGGGCCGCCGGGGTCGGTGACCGCGCTGGGCCCGCTGCAGGCGCCCGACGCGGCCGGTGCGGGCCGCCGGGGTCGGTGACCGCGCTGGGCCCGCTGCAGGCGCCCGACGCGGCCGGTGCGGGCCGCCGGGGTCGGTGACCGCGCTGGGCCCGCTGCAGGCGCCCGACGCGGCCGGTGCGGGCCGCCGGGGTCGGTGACCGCGCTGGGCCCGCTGCAGGCGCCCGACGCGGCCGGTGCGGGCCGCCGGGGTCGGTGACCGCGCTGGGCCCGCTGCAGGCGCCCGACGCGGCCGGTGCGGGCCGCCGGGGTCGGTGACCGCGCTGGGCCCGCTGCAGGCGCCCGACGCGGCCGGTGCGGGCCGCCGGGGTCGGTGACCGCGCTGGGCCCGCTGCAGGCGCCCGACGCGGCCGGTGCGGGCCGCCGGGGTCGGTGACCGCGCTGGGCCCGCTGCAGGCGCCCGACGCGGCCGGTGCGGGCCGCCGGGGTCGGTGACCGCGCTGGGCCCGCTGCAGGCGCCCGACGCGGCCGGTGCGGGCCGCCGGGGTCGGTGACCGCGCTGGGCCCGCTGCAGGCGCCCGACGCGGCCGGTGCGGGCCGCCGGGGTCGGTGACCGCGCTGGGCCCGCTGCAGGCGCCCGACGCGGCCGGTGCGGGCCGCCGGGGTCGGTGACCGCGCTGGGCCCGCTGCAGGCGCCCGACGCGGCCGGTGCGGGCCGCCGGGGTCGGTGACCGCGCTGGGCCCGCTGCAGGCGCCCGACGCGGCCGGTGCGGGCCGCCGGGGTCGGTGACCGCGCTGGGCCCGCTGCAGGCGCCCGACGCGGCCGGTGCGGGCCGCCGGGGTCGGTGACCGCGCTGGGCCCGCTGCAGGCGCCCGACGCGGCCGGTGCGGGCCGCCGGGGTCGGTGACCGCGCTGGGCCCGCTGCAGGCGCCCGACGCGGCCGGTGCGGGCCGCCGGGGTCGGTGACCGCGCTGGGCCCGCTGCAGGCGCCCGACGCGGCCGGTGCGGGCCGCCGGGGTCGGTGACCGCGCTGGGCCCGCTGCAGGCGCCCGACGCGGCCGGTGCGGGCCGCCGGGGTCGGTGACCGCGCTGGGCCCGCTGCAGGCGCCCGACGCGGCCGGTGCGGGCCGCCGGGGTCGGTGACCGCGCTGGGCCCGCTGCAGGCGCCCGACGCGGCCGGTGCGGGCCGCCGGGGTCGGTGACCGCGCTGGGCCCGCTGCAGGCGCCCGACGCGGCCGGTGCGGGCCGCCGGGGTCGGTGACCGCGCTGGGCCCGCTGCAGGCGCCCGACGCGGCCGGTGCGGGCCGCCGGGGTCGGTGACCGCGCTGGGCCCGCTGCAGGCGCCCGACGCGGCCGGTGCGGGCCGCCGGGGTCGGTGACCGCGCTGGGCCCGCTGCAGGCGCCCGACGCGGCCGGTGCGGGCCGCCGGGGTCGGTGACCGCGCTGGGCCCGCTGCAGGCGCCCGACGCGGCCGGTGCGGGCCGCCGGGGTCGGTGACCGCGCTGGGCCCGCTGCAGGCGCCCGACGCGGCCGGTGCGGGCCGCCGGGGTCGGTGACCGCGCTGGGCCCGCTGCAGGCGCCCGACGCGGCCGGTGCGGGCCGCCGGGGTCGGTGACCGCGCTGGGCCCGCTGCAGGCGCCCGACGCGGCCGGTGCGGGCCGCCGGGGTCGGTGACCGGGCGGCGCGTGCTGGCGAGCTACTGGCTTAACTGCCTCATTTATGTATTAATAAATTATTACATACATACAGCTGTTCGTTTTCCATGAAAATAAATATAAATATTTTTGAAAATTCCTAACACTGTATGTCGGTGTGATTGATACCTCCATAAAATTACAGCTCTCTAGTGCCAGTGCTAATTTGTTATGAGCGATTTGCATATAGGACAGTAGAATTAAACACAAAAATGTATTCGTTTTATTTTTGTTTTATTAGCTCAGCAAAGAACCCTATACAGGGTGTTAGGTAAATGGGTATATGAGCCGACACTAGCCCATGTTAACATGGTCATATAAATAGTATGGTGAAGTCAGAAAATTGATATCTTAATTTTAATAATTTTAATTTTCATACAAATCGGATTTTATAAAATTTATTTTGCCCATACATGCCCATACTGATCAACTGCCCGACTAAACTATCGGCCGACAAAAAATCAACGGTGTGTGCCTACTCTTAGTCGTAGTGATTGTATATGTTACGGTAAATGTGATAAATGTGAAAATTATGAATAATCGCCGGTTATTATGAATAATTACCTCATGATTTGGTAAATGTGATTAATATGAGATCATTTATGTGTGTATAAAACTAAATAGGCGGCTTAGGGGTGGCCCAAGGGCCACCCCCGCCGCACCTTAACCTATTTTTCACTTTAAATCAAAACAATGTGTTATAGGCATTATGGCAAAGTAATGTTACGCAAGAAACAGTCCAAACTCATTTTGCCAAATTATATTAATACTATATGATATCAAAACGTTCAAAATGTACACGAGCCGGTGTTCTTTTTTATGATATTTGTTAGTATTAAGGTTACATTATTAAATAATCACTGATAAATGTGATTAATTTATCACTTTTACCGTAACATATATTTTATATCCTATAGCCTTCCTCAATTTATGAGCTATTTAATTATTTAAATCAAACTAGTCATTCCTGAGATTAGGAGTTTTTAAAATGGTGCAGATTTTAAAATGGTTTTGGACCTATGGAAGTTCTTTTTTTTATTTAAACTTTTAAGTTGAAAATNTAAGTTGATTTGATAGTGTTCTGCTTAAAGCATAATTTAATGTTTCTAGCAAAACTCTTGTATCTTGCATCAAACATAAAAAGATGATTATTTTTTTGAAACATCTGCAATTAATAACGAATATGTCAAAAAAAAAAAGAAATCTGGGAAAAGTCAACCCGAAAAAAAGAAAAAAATATTTGAAGCCTACTAGGTCATAAAATTGTAAAATATCACAAAATTAACTCTATCTATCTCCCTAAACTAAGTAAAATCGTAGAACATACATGGGGGTGATTTAGATACACCTCGATATAAGGAATCTAAATTTTTCTTTTAGACCTCACTGTTTTGGCCACCCTGTATAGTCTTTTACATGCGCAGAAGGCGCATCTGGTATTGTACCTAGGCAAAGTATGAATGATATTTTATACATTACCTAAGCGTTTTTGGCATTGCATAGCCTAGGTATTGCATAGAATGCTGGATTAGACGGATTGTCGGTAATAACATTATACATATTAATTATCATATTTTTTATGATCGACCTAGTAGTAGAGCAAGCAGACGCACACAGTGCATGCTGATGAGACGTGATGCGTAAACACCTTCAGGGAATGCAATAAAAAAGAAGAAGTTTAAAACTCAAATAATATATTTCAGGCATTATTTACAATAATAATATATTTATCATCTCACTAATTTTCGAACGCTTCAAATGTCGAATACGAGTAATGTACGTCACGGTCCGTGCGCTCAGCGGTCAGCAGCGCGGCGGCGGGTAGGCGTGCGGCGGCGCGTGGTGCGGCGGCGGCGGCGGCGGGTAGGCGGCGGGCGGGCGCAGCGCGTCGCGCATGAGCTCGTGGTACAGGTTGAGCGCGTCCACCAGCTCGGCGCTGAGCTGCGTCAGGCGCGCGTGGCGGCGGTCGGCGCGCTCCAGCGCCGCGTCCACCAGCGGGCCCATGGCGTGCACGCGCGCCTCCAGCCGCGCCAGCGCCGCGTCCGCCGCGCGCGCCGCCGCGCCGCCCGCCTCGGGGTCCGCCTCGTGCAGCAGCGCCAGCGCCGCGTCCATCGTCGCCTCGTCGATGCGCGCCTCCTCCTCCGCCTCCGCCGCGCCCGCCCCCGCCGCCGCCGGCGCCGGCTCCGCGAACTTCACGCGCGGCGCGCCGCTCTCCGCTTCTGCGAAACGATCGCGCTCGGCGTTTGAATTGTGCCGACCCTCGAAACTCGAAAGACTGGCCCGTTAAAAATATTCACGATTACGGTTCGTCGATTCGAATAATGCAAACGGCGCTCACCCGGCCGGGGCTCGCTGAGGTCGGCGGTGACGAAGTTGGCGGGGAACAGGCCCTCGCCGCGCTCGTTATGGCCCTTCCACCAGTTGGGGTCGCTGGAGTCGGTCACGTGAACTGGAATCGATCACAAATCTTAAACACGTGCGATTTTATTGTGAAGACGAGTAGATATAGATCGTTTAATCCACGAAGACGCGCCCCACCACTTTCTGGTTGAGGGAAGCGCGGGGTGCGGGGAGTTTGATTCGAACGATCCGAGCGTCATTCTCATTATTGCATTGTGCGTGTGCAGTCATGGATACTATCATGTCTATGGATGACTTTTCCATAGAAACACATTGTTTACTAAGAACAAATGATGGATTAGCGGAATGCTGTATTATTTATGAATAAATTGGCAACGTTGGACATGGAAATAAATAAATTAAAACTAATTAGAGCAGCCCTGAAGGGCATCTTTTACACGAACACAGAATATTGTAAGTACAGCGACTGAAATCTTCCACGAGGAGATTACATTACGAAACTCCCCGAACCCCGCGCTTCCCTCGCCCAAAAAAATGGTGGGGCGCGTTTTCGTGGATGAAACGATCTATAGACAGGTACGCAAAATATTGTTTTGGCAGTGAACTGTGTCAGGCGATCGGAACAAATCATTAGAATAAACTAGATAAAATGAACGTTATCAATTTGTTTTATTTCATTTCATTAGCAAAAATAAGGAAAAATAACCGGGCCCAGATGCAATCAGCCCCGGGAGCCACCGGCTACTGACCGATCTCGCCCGCCATGAAGGTGAGCTCGTTGTCCTCGGCCGCCTCGAAGTCGTACAGCGCGCGCACCTTGCGCGGCGCCGGCGCCTCCGCCTCCACGCGCGGGTACAGCGGCGCCGGCTCCGCGCCGCCCGCGCGCCCGCCCCGCCCCCGCGCCCGCCTCCCGCAGCGACAGCGCGATGGCGCGCGCCAGCTCCTCCTGCTCGCGCGCCGCCGCCGCCGCGCCGCCCGCGCCCCCCGCGCCGCCCGGCCCGCCCGTCGGAGCCGCCGCCGCCACCACCTTCGGGACGACGTGCGCTTGCATTTATTATACATATTCGATGACCGGTCAGGAGACCTGTCTTTGAAATGTACGATCTCTTCGAACTGTGCGATAACTGTGCGAGTGAACGATCAAAGATCGAAGCGCAGGCGTACCTCGCCGCCCTCGGCCTTGAGCTTGGCGTGCAGCGACGGGATGAGGTCGAGCTGCGGGTCGCTGCGGAACTCGCCCTCGGCCCACTTGCGCAGCAGCGCGCGCAGGCGGCGCGCCACGGCCGGCTGCGCGCGCGCCAGCAGGCGCCGGAGCTCGGTCTCGAAGTCGCGCGAGGCCACCTCGAGGTGGAAGGCGCGGCCGCAGTTGGCCACGCAGGCGTCCAGCAGCGTGGCGGCGTGCACCTGCACGTGCGGGTCGGGGTGCGCCAGGCGCCGCAGCACGGCGCGCAGGCAGTCCTTGGCGCTCTGCGGCGACGCGCCCGCGCGGTCGCAGATCTCCATGATCAGCCCCCACTCCTCGCTCGTGTTGTTCTCGCTCGTCGCCCTCTCTGTGAGCACACGGATTGTTTCGTCATCGTTTCGGCCTCTCTGTACGGGTCTGTCTGATGACGGCCTAGGAAAAATGTAGTCGCAAATGTAAGACCAAACTCCTTGGCCGCTCGCCTGGCTGGCGAGAAACTTGCTTTTTATTTTAATGTTTTTAACTACTGCCACTTTTTTCGTTCACTTTGTTCTCTTCCTCTTGACTTTTTTCTATGATTGAACTAAATTATGATCTTTTTTTACTAATATGTTTTTATAAACAATACAGTTTTATATTTTACATCTGATAAAAGCCTTTCAATATCTTTCATAGTGAAAGACACATATTCACTCTCTTTGGTTAATTTCCAGATTGGCCGGCATCTGTCCACCTGTGGATGCGAGCCGCTAGCGACCAGTCGATCTGGAAATCATTGTTGGAGGCCCATGTTCAGCGGTGGACGTCCTGTACTTGGTACCTGGCTTCAGAATTATCTTTAGTAGCAAGTAGGTTATTACAAAGCACTTTTATACATCCCAGTATTAACCATCCCACTGTTTCAGGACTAATTAACAAGACGTTAATTAAATACTTATTATACAGGTTTACCAGATGGCAAATGATCTCTAATATAACCCCTTTCAAGGAATAGGCCCCGTCACAATGTTGAATACTGCCTAATATTATCAATAGAATGTTACCAAGAAGCATTACGTTAAATCGAGAGTACCTACCTTTTTTAAAAAAAACTGTTAGGATCCTATTAATGACAAACTCCTTGAATAGATATTTATTTCTTTCATTTTCCATATGGTTTTAACTATGCTTAGGAAAATAATTTAATAAACAAGGATTCCTTCACAAAGAAACAGGAATGAGTCATCAAACACAAAAGAAAGTGTAAAGATAACAAATTAATCACCTACATAAATGTAGGTTTGTATGAAATCTATGAACTGCATAGTTTGAAGGCATAGAGCTACAGATGAGCTATTCCTTCGAGACGACGATAAAATATATACTAAAGAAAAACAAAAACGATTAAAAACCATTTACATGGCATTATTAATACGTACCGACATCTTGATCAAACGGGGATGAATTCCCGAAAATACCCATATTACACGCCCAAACAGGTAAGCAAGCAGCAAACTCCCTAACAAATACACAATAATTTAACTGTTAAAATGATATTGACGCAATATTAGATGAATTTACTATAAAACTTATAGTGAAAACACAAAATACTTTTGTTGTTTTTGACACAGGTTTTTGACATATAGTGTTTTTTTTTTTAAATAAAATTATAGCACAGATTAAGATGAACTACACTGAACCGCATGCTGAACCGTTCCATTATATCATATCACATTGACAGCGAGGGGGGCGCCACCATCGTTCAACTCTAATGCCGCGTTTAGACAATCACACGAGCGGACATTTTGTGAACAGCGCGCGAACCTTCCTACTCACTCGCGTTGGAGGCGGGCGAGTCAAAGGGATTTGTTGCGAGCGGCAGCTGACTGCTCACACCTCAAACCAAGGATAAATCATGCTATCCTATCTATACAGGGTGTTAGGTAAATGGTGTTATAAGCTGACACTAGCTCATTTTAACATGACTGTGCAAATGGTATGGTGAAGTCAGAAAATTGATATCGTCATGTTTATTATTTTCATACAAATCTGATTTTATAAATTTTATTTTATATGAAAATTAAAAAAATAAATTCTATGAACCGGTTGACTGTTTTTTATTTAACCACCAAACGGTTGATTAATTACCTAAAGGCTTTAAGAGGCAATTTTCAGTTATTTTTTTTATTTAACTTGACTGAATTGATGTATCAAAAGAAATGGTCGTACTACAATAATAACTACTTACAATGAGAATTATACCTAAAAATGGGGGAAATCAAGCATCAAGACCAATCTAGTCGCGCTTTCAGGGTTGCAGGGTTGCTATGTGAACGACAGTGGTGCCCTTAGGGGGCGTCCATAAATTACGTGAGACAATTTTGGCCATTTTTCAACCCCCCCGCCCCCTTGGTGAGATTTGGTGAGATTTTGCCTGACCCCCTCCCCCACCCCCCTAATCTCACGTGATATTTAATAAAATGCCTATTTTGCAATGTCTATGCTTCGAGTCTATTAGATTTATATGAAAAAATCAGTAACCCAGTGTCGTTCGTGCCACGCGCAGTGCAGGGTTCCGTAGCTTCCCGTCGTTTAGTAATACAAGCAATTGCTTCAACCTAGGTCCAGTTTTTTGATTCATAGTTAAAATAACTAATTGTTAAATTTTGCTACTAATGGTTAAATAATAATAAAATGTAAACTAATAGTTAAAAAATGTACTAAAAGTCAAGTTAAACATTGTTATAAAAACATTTTTTTCTGTTAACCCTTCATTTGATTTTGTTCACTGGGATGAACATTCAATTGAAAAAAATAATATGCCGAGTGCATACGTCTTAATTTCTGGTAAGTTTTTTTTTTCACTAGAAAATATACTTAAGTTTTGGTAGAAAAATATTTTTATGTGCTAGTCACAGTCTGAAAGTGTTAATTTTAGCCAAAATGCCGGCCAAAGCGAAGACCAGGCTTTAGTGTCAANTTTATCTGTAGCTTCATGGCTGAACCGTTCCATTATATCATATCCATGAAGCTAAAGATAAAAATGGAGGGCAAACTTGGAACAAAAACTTGAGTCAAATACCTACTTATATCAATCTCGCTCTCTGTGGCCCTACCTCTCTTTTTAGTGTGAACTGTAGTATTGCTGTCTCCTGATTTAAATCTCCTAGTAAATTCTTCGAAATAGCCAATTCACTAACCAAATCATAAGTTAAACAAATAAATAATTAAATATTTGAACTACGATTACCTAGTTGAATTAAAAATCACAAAAAGGTTTAATGTGTTGGCGAATCAGGGAATTACAATCCCAATTCCTGGGGAATCGGTACCATGTGGCAACATCGGCCCAATCCGGCCCATCATGGCGGTTGTTTACTATTTTGTTTATTAAGCAGTTAATTTCGTTTGAGATTGTTTACAGGAAATAATCATTGTTTTATCACAAGAAATGATGCAAAATTTTGTAGTGCGTGGTTGCGGTAGTACGTGGTGTCCTGGAAGTGACATAAGATTCCACGCGTAAGTGTTTATTTCGTGATTTCCGACATTGGATCATTGTAAACATTTTTCACATTTTTTACAGTAATTTCTTCTTAACGTTTTACCAGTATTTACACTTATCATTTTTAATGATACCTATGTCAAGAAATAAAGATTTTATATTGAGTTTCATTGAATTTGAGCAAATTTATATTTTTTGTTTATTTAGAAAGAGAGAGTCTGCCCACAGAGAGCGAGATAGTGATACATAGATTGTGCTTCAAGTAGGTATTCGGAGTGTGGCCTCCATTTTTATCTGTAGCTTCATGATCATATCACATTGACAGCGAGGGGGGCGCCACCATCGTTCAACTCTAATGCCGCGTTTAGACAATCACACGAGCGGGTGAGGTGAATTATGGTAAGCGGACATTTTGTGAACAGCGCGCGAACCTTCCTACTCACTCGCATTGGATGCGGGCGAGTCAAAGGGATTTGTTGCGAGCGGCAGCGCCGGCAGCTGACTGCTCAAACCTAAAACCAAGGATAAATCATGCTATCCTATCTATACAGGGTGTTAGGTACTTAAATGGTGTTATAAGCTGACACTAGCTCATTTTAACATGACTGTGCAAATGGTATGGTGAAGTCAGAAAATTGATATCGTCATGTTTATTATTTTCATACAAATCTGATTTTATAAATTTTATTTTATATGAAAATTAAAAAAATAAATGATGATATCATATTTCGGACTTCACCGTACCATTAATTATATCTGTTACGGCTAAATATAGGTATGAACATAAACTTAAGATTAGCCGGCTAAACTTAAGTTTATCTTCGAGAAGCGGCTAAAGTTCGATAACATGTTAGTTTGCGTCGTGCGTGATATTCCATCTAGCCGGCTAATGTGCACATTAGCCGGCTAAGGCCAACGACAACACGCATTTTGTAATTTTAAATACCTACAGAAGATTCTGTAATGACCAAATGGTTCCTTATTATTTTATTTTAATGATTAGGTAGATATTATTTTAAGTAATTAATATTTTGTTATTGTAATAATTGTAATTTTGAATACCTACTTAGGTAGGGTGGGTAGTCGAACAGTGAACCAACCAGATACGCTGAACCACCTCCATATTATTTCAAAAAGTATGACGTTGCCAGTTCCACCGAACGAGTCACTACGTGTCTCGTGGACGCCCTTCCCATCTCCCGTAGTGCGCCGGCGACTGTGGCTAAGGTGTGACGTGTGGCTACGAATTCTTTGTTTCTCGACGAAAAAAGATAGTTTTTTCAGAGAAGCCTTACGATTTTTGTATATTTTGCTATTTATATTAAGTACGAAATCTATTTGGTATCAAAATTATTGTAGTTTACGAAATAATTTCGTAGTTCTTTTCGTCAAAAAGGTATTACGTTATCTTGTGTATAGCCTGACCAGAGCCCCGATTACGGTAATTTTTAACGTCAACAATCCAGACACGCTTCTCGATTCTGCGATACGATTGGTCGTTCAACAGCGTAGCAGAAGATATTTCTAAACGACAAAATCCAGTGCCGTCGTATACATAGACGTATACCTACTGCGATCACTGACCTAACTTCTTGATTTATTTGTTACTTGTGCTGTTAATTACAATTCTCAATCCGTAAATAATTTCTTCTTCCTACCGTGTTCGTACTACTGTCCTCGTAAAATCATCGTAACCGATTGTTGTAATCGGATTACATGAACATCACTCGACCATGTATGTCCATTTGGACATATCGGAATGGCACGCTTTGACGAGCAACTTGCTGCATCTACTCCATGAAGCTAAAGATAAAAATGGAGGGCAAAGTTGGAACAAAAACTTNGGCACACCACACGTTGCAGTTCCGTTCCCCGAATGTTATAAATAAACCAACGCATGATAAAACATCCCAACTAATATTATAAATGCGAAAGTAACTCTGTCTGTCTGTCTGTCTGTTACGCTTTCCCGCTTAAACCTCGCAACCGATTTCGATGAAATTTGGTACAGACAATCTTTAGACCCTGAGACAGAACATAGGTTACTTTTTTTCAAAAACTAATTTCACGCGGGCGAAGCCGCGGGCGGAAGCTAGTAAGTAATAAATAAAAAAGTCGAACAATGTTTTGGAGCAGCGTGTACTGTAACGAGCGTGCGGGCGCAGGCGGCGCGTGCTGGCGAGCTGTTGGCGCGCGGCGCGGGCGCGGCCGGCGGCGGCGGAGCTGTGAGCACACCTCACCNTTGTAGTGCGTGATTGCGGTAGTACGTGGTGTCCTGGAAGTGACATAAGATTCCACGCGTAAGTGTTTATTTCGTGATTTCCGACATTGGATCATTGTAAACATTTTTCACATTTTTTACAGTAATTTCTTCCTAAAACGTTTTACCACTAATTACACTTATCTTTTTTAATGATACCTATGTCAAGAAATAAAGATTGTACATTGGTTTCATTGAATTTGAGCAATTTTATATTTTTTTTTTATTTAGAAAGAGCGAGTCTGCCCACAGAGAGCGAGTTAGTGATACTTAGTTTGTGCTTCAAGTAGGTATTCGGAGTGTGGCCTCCATTTTTATCTGTAGCTTCATGATCTACTCTAATCCATATCTGTGGGGCTCCCGCTCGGCTCTGTCACATTGACATTGATGGATGATTGACATTTAGGTCGTGTAACTGTGAAAAAGTATCGAAATGAAAAAATAACAAATATTTTCGACTAATAAATTGTTGTGATACCAAGATTTGGGTGGAAAAAAGGTTTTGAAATCATTTTGGTCATTTAAATCAAATGAGGTAAGTCCAAAAGTGTGTTTAATTTTGATTGTGTCAGGGTTTGTTTACTTCATTAATTTATAGTTGTAGTTTTACAGTAAAACAAAAAGAAAAAGCTACTTTAATGGTTTCAATATATAATTGTAATTATATTTAAATGTTCCTGTATCGCTAGTAATAAATTAAATATCTTTTTCAGATCGAAATGAGTATTGTTTTGAAGACCGGGTTTGTGAGTGTTGCAACAAATTCCAACCACAAACCGTATTTAAAGGAAAGTTGTTGGTATTGGATGGACATGTCCGAGATGTAGAAGAATTAAGAACAAAACAAGGGCAGAGTTCAATAATTCACGCTCTCATCATAAGGCAAACATCACACCTTAGAAAACGAAACGGTTTTAATTAGAGATGAAACGGATAGTTGTTTGGCCGGATACCGGATACCGGATATCCGGCCAGCTGCTAGGCCGGATAGCCGGATATCCGGCGGCCGGATAGTTGGCCCATTGTCTCGTTTCATGTCGTGACGAGTTTAGCGCCGCACAGGTGCTTCGAAGGCGATCAGTGGGTCTATTAGTAGACTAGACTAGTCACACTTTTCGAAAATCGAATTTGTCCGAATAGAATGTCAGATTATGCCACTTGTCTAAGGGGCAGATCAATTCGAGCGATTTCGGTTGCTATCGTGAGTGTGTGATTGAATAGCGAAAATTAA